AAAAAAAAAAAAAAAAAAAGCTAACCATCAGAGTTAGAACAGAAAACCAGAGATTCTAGTGTATGTTGAAAGACATTAAGAGGTGGAGGCAGGCAAACCCCAGTGGGGCAGGTAGAGGGCAGTAGGGAGTCCCAGACGATAAGGTCAGCCTATGGGATGCCTTCGTACATGAAGCAATATAATACATTTGGGAGACGTGGGAAAATTACAGTCGGCAGATGTTATTAAGATTCAAAGCAATGAGAAGCACTCACTGCTGATCTCCCTAATCTGCATTCACCCCCTTAGTCTCAAGGAAACTCAACACAACACAAAAGGTTTCCCAAAAATTGCCCAAGAGGAATTTCAAGATGCTAGTTGTACCCAGGTTCCCACATTGAATGCTGCATAATAGAGATAATTCTAAAGTAAGGCCTTGCTTTCATTATGCTGTAAACTTATCTGCTCTTATCCCCTAAAGCAGTAAAACTGCTTCTGGCTCTGGTGCTTCTGCCATTGACAAATCTCAACTGATAGGATTTCCCCTAGCACTTAAAAGAGTGAAAGTCAGCAGTAAGGAATCTTATTAAGGTCCATGGCATCTATTTGGAATTTTTATGAGCACCAAGGTCAGTCTTAGATTTTTGAGTTTTGAAGAACATTGGCATTTAAAACAATAAGTTTTCCACAGTAATGCAAATACAACAGAAAAGACCCAGCAAGAGATTTGAACACACCTTGGTTTTTCAGATGGTGCCAGCAAGTACTCCTCCATATTGAAGCCTGAGAGATTCAACAGTGTGTGGCCCAGGTGGTTGGTCAGGTAGGGAGCACCGGAACTTCTATTCGGACACTTCTGAAATTGTTTTCAAAAAGAAAAAAAAAAAAACTTTGTTATGACTCACAAACTGGTTCACTGACATTACTCGAAACTACCTGTGACTCTTCTCTAGCTTTCAATTTTTAATAAATTATCTGTAACCTTTTATATGTTCTGATTTCTAAAATCTCTTTCAGGGTCACATATATTTGAGAATTACGCCAGAATACAACTGTGACTTTTGCAGTCAATTATATCTGAGAACTTCAAATCCTTTTCTGTATATGGGTTTGGGCAGATTTACAAAAACTAAAAAGGAAAAAAAAATGTTTTCACTAGGGTGATCTTGCATTTGACAAACCTGAAAGAGAGTCAGAGACAACTAGTGGGAGGAAGATAAGCAGGATAACTCAAAGGCATGTGTCTCTTTCATAAGGGTCTAAAGTAGAAATCAAACAGCTTTTCTCCAGCGACTCACCAGCATGCCAACAACACCAGCTCTGCATCATGGAATAATCACCTAACAAGGTAGGAGGCGGTGGTCAACACAATACAAAACCCAGGCCACGGGAGGCTGCGCAGTGATGTGCTCTGCCCTGTCACAGAACGGCTTTGGAGTTAATGTGCTTTGTTTCCATTTCTCAAACACTTTCAGAAAAGATGATATATTAAAATAGGAAACGACTCTGTCTCTGAGTCTTTTGTTGTCAAAATGCCAGGGGTTTGGTCTTGCTGCACAGAAAGCCAATCACTGAGACCATGAGTGTTGCCAGGGAGGAAGCCTTTAACTGAGTTCTGCAGCGGAGGAGAATGAAAAAGTCTCAAATCCATGTTCTCAACCATCTAAAACTGGTGGGGGTTATATGGAGGGGAAAATGGGAAAACAGGAATGAAGGAGGGGTAAGGAAGCAATCATGATGCATGAGGGGTCTGGAGTCTCATTTTCTGAATTCAGGGATCTAATGTATTTCAGTCCCTTGCCTGAGGATCAGTTTCTTGAGGAAGAAACTCGGGTGGTGAAACAAATGTAAGTTTCAAGTTTTAAGACCAGGGAGGGTCCATTTCCATGTTTATTCAAAAATCCATAAATATTACTTCTAAGATATATTTGGGCCAGTTTCACATTCATTACAGCTTTGGAAGCTTGTCTGCTTATTTGCAAAATGAAAACGGAAACAGGCTTACCTAAATGCTTGGATTTGCTGTTAGGTTCAGATACACATGAAAGAACTACAGCAAAGTAAGAAGGGCGATAGACATTTAAGATACTGCTTTCAGTGTGTTGAAAGAAAGGCTTGAGGAAAGATACGAAAAAGAATAATAATTGTTGTACATCATAATTCAGCAAAACTCACTTATTTGTGGAATCTAACAAAGTCAAACTCATAGGAACACAGAGTAAAGTGGTGACTGGCAGAGAGGATATTGGTCAACGGATACAAAATTTCAGCTAAACAGGAAGCAAAAGTACCAGATCTACTGTACAACATGATGACTACAATTAGTAACAATGTATTGTACCTTGAAAATTGCTGAGAGAGCCAGTTGAGGTGGCCCACACCGGTAATCCCAGCACATTGGGATTACATTCCTGAGTTTGAGACCAGCCTAGGCAACATGATGAAACCCCATCTCTAATAAAAATACAAAAATTAGCAGGGTGTAGTAGCACGATCCTGTGGTCCCAGCTACTCGGGACGCTGAGGCAGGAGAATGTCTTGAACCTGGGAGGCAGAGGTTGCAGTGAGCCAAGGTGGCACTACTGTACTCCAGCCTGGGCCACAGAGCGAGACTGTCTCAAAAAAATGAAAAAAGAAAATTGTTAAAAGAGTAGATTTTACTTTGGGAGGCCGAGGCGGGCAGATTACAAGGTCAGGATATCGGGACCATCCTGGCTAACACGGTTAAACCCTGTCTCTACTAAAAATACAAAAAAAATAGCCAGGCGTGATGGCAGGTACCTATAGTCCCAGCTACTCGGGAGGCTGAGGCAGGAGAATGGCTTGAAGCTGGGAGGTGGAGCTTGCAGTGAGCCAAGATCTCACCACTGCACTCCAGCCTGGGCAACAGAGCAAGACTCTGTCTCAAAAAAAAAAAAAAAAAAGTAGATTTTGAGTATCCTCAACACACACAAACACACGCACACAAATAGTAATGTTGGGATCAGGAAAAAATACCCCAGAATATGGTGCTTTCACATGCTGAGCTGAAGAAGTTTCAAGGTATCTCTGACCTCCCTCCTATCCACCTTCTCTCCCAAAGCACAGGACGAAGTTGAAATTCTTTACCTACCTAAGATCTAGACCCACCAAGGAGAATGTTTTATTTCTTCTCCTCCCTGTAAGACCAAGAATGTAACCAAACCTAAACAGATAATGTCTGTTCCCAGATCCATTTATTCTTTATTGTAATCTTTTATTGTCCCAGTACAGAATTCGTCTTCTCCCTCCATGACCTGATTTGCCAGGACCCAAGCCCTATACTTTCTGTAAACTTGAGATGATATATAAACATCTGAACTTCATTAGGGGATAGACAATAACTCTGTAATTCTCCCCCTGTACATGTTAAAAGAATTCATGTGCCTTTTCTCCAATTAATCTGCCTTTTATGAGTTGAATTTTTAGCAAACCTACAGAGGATGAAGGGCAAGTTTTCCTGTGCCCCTGCAATAAGTACATGAGGTAATGCATATATTAAATAGCTGGACTTACCCATTCCATAATGGGGGTGTGTGTGTGAGAGAGAGAGAGAGAGATTTTATATAT